AAACAGGTCACAATGTGGAATGGAGGGCATTCGAATGCGTCGCCTAACAACCCAGTGAGCGACGACTCGGATGATGAATATGAGGCAGCTGCCGTCGCGGCTGTCCTCTGGTATTACCACACATACATGGAGAGACCCCCACCTCGACCTAAGCACACCTCCGCGTTGACAGGTATTATGCGTGTTGATTACTTACTTGATGGCCACGATGACATAATTCGGAATAAGATTAGGATGGGCAGTGACTGTTTTAAGCGTCTTAGTTCACTACTAGAAGGTAGAGGACTACTGAGACCCACTAGGAATATGAATGTAGACGAACAGCTTTTTATCTTCCTATATATTGTCTCACAAAGCCAAAGCAATAGGGAATCACAGGACCAATGGCAGCATTCGGGATCCACCATTTCCAAATACTTCCAGGTAGTATTGGATGCAATATTTAACCTGCGCCATGATTTTATAACACCCCCGAATTATAACATTACTGATCCAGTCATTGCGGCGCATGGAAGCAAGTATTTGCCATGGTTTCAGGTATGACAATATGAATGAGTCATATGCTTATCAAATTAATTGACGTAATTGATAATAGTTGTTGTTAATTGATTACAGAATTGCGTTGGAGCCCTTGATGGGACTCACGTCCCTTGTGTTCCACCACCCGGTAACCCCGAAGTATGACGGAATAGGAAGGGTTTTTACTCCCAAAATGTGTTAGGGGTATGTTCATTTGACTTGAAGTTTACTTACATCTTAGCTGGATGGGAGGGCTCTGCCCATGATGCGCGCGTTCTTGCGGATGCAACAAGTACAAGAGATAAAAATTTCCCAAATCCACCGCCAGGTATGCGAACAACAATCCTTGCTATACATTCAATATAGAATAAGTATTGTCGGTTGGTTGTCAGAACTTAATTATTGATTTGTAATGGTTAATATAGGGAAATACTACCTTGTAGACTCTGCCTACGCGAATACCAATTGTTTCTTGGCGCCGTACCGGGGGAGCACATATCACCTTCAAGAGTATAGGGCAAGACGTGGCCGTCCTCGAACTCAGCGTGAGTTGTTTAATTATACGCATTCGTCCCTAAGAAATTCTATTGAGTGCACTTTCGGTGTTTGGAAAGCACGGTTCCGCATACTAAAGTGCATAAATAATTACCCAATAGAGAAACAGATACAAATTCCTGTTGCTTGTGCCGTGCTTCACAATTTCATACATATGTACAACCATAACGACGAGCTACTAAACCAGTACACACGAGACGGAGTACCAGTTGTTGATATTGATCCGGAGAATGCGGATCAAGATGTTAATCAGAATCACAATCCTGATCGGGCAATGGAACAAAATCACAACTCTGCAAATCGTAGGGAAATGAATATTTTAAGGGATGAGATGGCTGCTAGCATGTGGGGGGCATTAGAAGCATATCGCAATCGGTAGTTACATATATTTGTTTCGTAATTTCAACGATTAATATGAGTTTGTAATGCTAAACTTATGGACGTTTTTATTATTATATATGAATGTATGTGTTTATGGTTTCTCTCTTTAAAAAAATCCATGTCAAAACTTGCTAAAATTGGAGTTATGTTTTTTTCAAAGGTGAACACAAAACTCAAGTTTAACATTCACAAACTAACTAAGTGAACACACAACTCAAATTTGAAACTCAATTCCAATTAAACTCACTTTTTTAACTCTAATCTTGAATTTCAAACTATTGAAAAGAACGCACCCTAATATAATAATAACTTATTTAAGACGGTTAAGACAAATTTAACATATTTATTGATCAATTTATCTTTTCCTTTAAGAAAAATAAATAAATTTTACATACAAATATAAAATTCACATTATTTGTATTTAATATGTCATATAAACTTTTATATTATATCACATATCATTAGATTGTAGATAACACATATAATTATTCGTGTCACTTCGTATTAGGAGGTCAACCCTAACCCAACGTATTTATTAATCATGTCAGCCTAATTATGACAAAAATTTATTTATAATAAACTCAAACCTACTAATTTTGTGTGAATTTTAAATCATATATCGTTGTGTCACTATCCGAATAGTCATCCTTACTTAAGAGCATAATTTTTAAATGTAAGAACTTAATTCCGCAAAAAAAAAAAAATTTCAAGAACTTCCAAATTCGTTATAAAATTTGTCCAAACAATAGCATTGATTAGGGGAGAGAAAAAGTGGGCCCAAACATTTAAATTGAATAACCCGCTCACTAAAAATTACCCAAAACACAAAAAGTAGAAGTAAATGTCTTGATTGATTTAAATTTTTAATTTGAGTTAAAATATAATTTTATGTAAAATTTTTTTATTATAATAAAAAAATTAAATATAATTATTTTTAAATTTTTTTAATATTAATAAAAATTAAAATTTAAACTGGAATCAGTAAATAATGAGGCATTACTGTTTATTTATCTATTTATTTATTTTTGTAAAATCCCTGCCAGCTCAGCAAACTCAAATGTTTGTTGGTGGACTTAACCCACGCGCGAGGTCACGTGCCAGGCCTTATCCTCAAAAAGCAAAACCAAACGACAGAGGCCTGAGAGCGAAACGTGAAGTAATGAGGAGCGCAGAAATATGTGTGACCCAAGAACCCGAAAAGTGTCCATGTATCCGATCACAACCCCATGTTTCTTTCCTCGAACGACGTCGTTTTTAGCCATAGTTTCTTTCTCCATCTCCCTCTACTCTCCATTTATATTCAGCAAAGAGGGAAAGTGAAAAAGGAAGAAGAGAGAAAATAGCAAAATGCTGAGATAATCAACCAGAGGAGTCTAGAGAGGTCGGAAATTTGGATTCCGAATCGGAGCTAGGGTTTTCGAAATGGCGGACCAGAAGAGCAGCAGCAGCAACAACAGGTGGAACTGGGAGGTCACCGGATTCGAGCCGAGGAAGTCGTCGTCGTCGGCGACGTCGTCGCCGAGGTCGGCATCGGTGGACTTCGACGATTACAGGCCCGGCGTGCCGTTGGTCAGGAGGTACTCGATCTCGGCGGCTTCGGTTTTGCCGCATTCGGAGCTCTCGAAGCAGGCCATGGTGGCCAAGCTCCAGAAGCTCAAGGAGAAGGTTAAGGTAATTGGAGCTTGGAATTTGGGGATTTGGAATGTCTTTTTTGCGAAATTTGGATTTTTTGAGCTGATTAGCGATGGAGAGAAGTGGTGGTAGGCGTTCTTTGAGAGAGTTGAGTTTGTGGCAATGCGTTGTGGAAGTAAAGGAAAATTGGAGCTGATGAATTGATGAGAGATGATCAATATTTATTTTGTTTGTATTTTGGGAGATTTGTTTCAGCTTTCATGTGATTTGGATAATGTGCGTTTAATTTATTGAAATTAATGTTGGACAGCTTGCTAGAGAAGATTATTTGGAATTGAGACAAGAAGCGAGTGAATTGCAGGAGTATTCGAACGCGAAACTTGATAGAGTTACGCGGTATCTGGGTGTTCTTGCTGATAAATCCAGAAAACTAGGTAAGGATTTCACTTCTCTTGTTTATTTGTGTGATCCGTGTTGAAGATTAATCGTAGGGTGGTTCTTTCTTTGGGAGGAAAACTTAAGTATATTGTGTCTGGTACGTTTTGGGGGATATTCAAAATTTTTGGAATAATTTGGATTTTTTGAATTGTAAGTTGGGATTCCATGCAACAATGATAAATAATATTGGTGGTTTATGTTATCTTTGAGATAGTTGCTTCCTGAGAATACTGTAAGCATGTGTGGTCATGTGTGTCTGATGTCTCGTACCTGAGACCATCTTTTATTTTAAGTGATTTTTTATTGTTTTGGTCTCCTGTTTGGATTTCATATTTTGTCTGTGTAAATATCAGATCAATTTGCTCTTGAAACTGAGGCTAGAATTTCCCCGCTGATCAGTGAGAAGAAAAGGTTGTTTAATGACTTATTGACGGCCAAAGGTACTTAACTTCTGTGAATTTATCCTACTTGGAAAACTCTGTCCTCTCTGTTTCTTGCACAATGCACTAGCACTTTTTTTTATTCTTTGCAGACAACGCAGTACAATCTTTTCCCCTTTTTAGATTAAGACAATTTTTTTCGCACTCTTTTTGAAATAATCTTTCAATTTCAGGAAACATAAAAGTAGTTTGTCGTACGAGACCATTATTTGAAGATGAAGGTCCCTCAATTGTTGAATATCCTGATGAATTCACCATTCGCGTTATAACTGGTGATGATTCTATCTCCAACCCCAAGAAAGATTTTGAATTCGACAGAGTATATGGACCTCATGTTGGGCAAGGTAAGCAGGACTTGTGTCTGCATGTTTTTTAAATATTTTTGCTTTCAAAACCTTGAAAGCTTGCAACTGTGCCGTTCACATATTATTGGAAAAATGTGTGTGCAGCTGAACTTTTCAATGATGTTCAGCCACTGGTGCAGTCAGCTCTAGATGGATATAATGTTTCAATATTTGGTTATGGACAAACCTACTCAGGAAAGACTCACACCATGGTTATTCTCTCTCTCTCTCTCTTACTCTTTCTATCTGTGTGTTTCCGTGTTTAGCATAATCTATATATATGAAGATGCTACTTTGCTAGTTTTGAAGGTCTGTGACCTTGAAAAGTTGTAGAAGTGATATGTGGATGCTTTTGCAGTCTGAACCGGGTGAAAAGGTGGGAAAGTTGGGGGTTGTCTCTGTGTGTGTGTTGG